AGAGAAATTTGTTGCAAAGTCATTTGGGCAACCGCATCCTGAGAATGCAGCCCAGCCTGGGTGATGGATCACTTTGCAAGGATCTGCAATTAGCTATTTTCAAATGATGACAAAGTGTGAACTTAACTGCTTATTTGGGAACTTCCTCTTTCATCCAAAGTAAATTCAAATACAATTGAAAATCTGACCTTTCATTACTGGAACTCTCTTGACTAAAAACCAAATTGAATTTTAATTCCTGAATCTCCATGTGTACACAGTACCATGAGGACATCACAGATTTTAGTTCCATGCCCCAAAGATAAATTGGCTTTGGGATTACTTGGATTAAAAACAAAGCCTTCTTAAAAGATGTATTTAATTTTCATGATGTTTTCTTTTTCCTAAAGCTAAAGAATTGTTCTTTTGAATTTCAGTTTTTCTTGATCGCAAAAATGCCACCAAAATTCTGAATCGGCCAAAGAGGTATAATTCAGGTAAACTGGAAGAGTTTGTTCAAGGTAACCTTGAGAGAGAATGTATGGAAGAAAAGTGTAGTTTTGAAGAAGCTCGAGAAGTTTTTGAAAACACTGAAAAAACCGTGAGTATCTCCACATAATATTCTTCAGATGCAGAGCAAAGTACAGAAAACTAAAAAAGAAAAAAAAAAAGGAAGAAAGAAACTTCTCTTTGGAATTTTAAAATGTCTACCCATATATATGTATTATAAAAGTTATAAAAGGGGAAGAATCGAATCCAAAATATTTTGAGTACTACCACTAACTTGTCCTCTTTTTCTTTATAGACTGAATTTTGGAAGCAATATGTTGGTAAGCAATTAATTTTTTCCTCTAGCTGGTATAGGAAACATCTGAGAATTACGTATCATTTCTCTGTGTAAACAGACAATATATTAAACTCTGTCAAAAGGGTCTGACTCTTTTACCCAAGACTGAATGGTGATATACGACAGGTTTATGCCCGTGGGGGGGGTGGGGTGGCTATGAGCTGGCAGATAAGCTTACTCCTCCCTAGGGCTTCAACAAGACATTGTTGTACTCCAGGCAGCTGGAAGGAAGAAACTAAGATGACTGCACCTGGGGACTGAGAGGGAGTTTGCAGTCTTTGGCAGAGAATGTGAAAACGCTGACTGACTTAAATGTTTATTGCTTAGAAGTCCTCCTTATGATGGCCTACAAGGCCCTCCATAATCGTCCCGGCCCTCCGTTTCCGCTGGCCCTCAGACCCTCCTCTCCTGCTCTCCTCCTCACATGTAGGGGTGGGGAGGTTTGGGGGGAGGAGAGGGGCAGCCATCTTGGCCTCCCTGCTGCTCCCAGCACACTCCAGGCATGCTTCCGCTCTGATCTCTGACCTGACTGTTCCTTGAACGTGGAATGCTCCTCTGCCAGGTTCCCCTAGGCTCGCTCCCTCCCCTCCCTCAGCTCTTCCCCCAAATGTCACCATCGCGATGAAGCCTACCTACCTTGACCATCTGTTAGTACTTCAACCTGCCTCCCTATAACCCCATCACCTAGATACCGCAACCTCCTCTCCTATTTTTCACAGCACTTTTCACCATCTGAGGGAACATATAATGAATGTTCTTACTTCTATTATTTATTATCTATTTTCCCCACCTCATTAGAATGCAAGCTTCACATTGGCAGGGGTGTTCAAGTGTTTGTTTATTGATGTATTCCTGGTACCTTGAACACTATCTGGTACAGAAGCACTGAATAAATATTTGTTGAATGAATTGACCAAAAGGAGGAAAAGTCAAAACTTCCATGACAATCGAGCTTTAAAACTAACGTAAAATCCAGCAGCAGGATTTTGAGGCAGTGTACATTCCAGAGGTTGACTTATCTAAGACCATCCACACGGACAGAACCTAGACAGCAAATTCACTGAGTTCCAGCAAGTGGAGATGCAGTGCTATGTTCCACTTGCTATTCTGGAACTTGTTCATACTCTAGTAACTCAATTTCTCCACTTTTGTTTTTAACTCCTGAGGGAGGATGAGGTCCACGCCATTACATTGACTTTCTCAGCCTTTCCTTGCTGTTAGTAATGAAGACTACCAAGCCAGTTCTCTACTCAGGTGTTCCCCTGCCGTTAGTCCAAATGAGACTTTTTATTCTTTATTTCCATTATATTTAAAACTTGAAATCTTGTGATTTTAAGATTTTCTTTTTAAGTAATCTCTACCCCCAACATGGGGCTCGAACCCACAGCCCCAAGATTAAAAGTCGAACACTCCACCAACTTGAGCCAGCCAGGTGCCCCTTGTGATAGATTTTTAAAGCAAATCAATTTCTACTTCCCCACCCCACCCCCCAAAAAAAATCCAGGCTGTATTTAAACTCCCATGACCCCTTCGTTTGCCCACCCCACTCCCCAGCAGGGGTTGGTCAGAACCTCTTAAGCACCATATTTTGAAGCTGAGCCCCTGCCTTCTGGGTCAAAGGCCACGTTGTTTACTGTATCCAGGGTAAAGATATCTCGGAAACCTCAGGGGCATGATTCTGTCACTACTGCTTCATCCACCAAAAACGAGAACAAAAAAGCAAAAAGAAAATAACTCCCTGCCTCTTTTCAGTTGCAGCCGAGATTCCTAACCACCCCAAAATAGCCGATGCTATTTCTTACCCTGTGGGCTTTCACATACTGCAGAGCGCAAGCCCCTCATGCCTGCCTTATCCTCTACTATCAACAGCCTGGTGGAAGAAGAAAGATCGTCCAAGCACATGAGCTAGCTAGCATCTGTCAAGCACTTTACAGTTTACAGAGTGCCTGTCATATTTAATCCACACACCAACCCAGTGAGCAAAGCATTATTAGCCTCAGTTTACAGAGGACACTGAGGCTTAGGGAGGCTAAAAGACTTGCCAGAGGTCATCCAGTTGGGGAGTCACAGAGCCCAAAAGAGAACCCAACTTCTCTAACGAGCCAGGCCTTGCTCTCACGATCACCCCTCCTGGCCTTCAGATCTAGATGTGGTTACTCATTAAACAACCACCTAGGAGCCTTCAAAGGAATCTCTCACTCGTCAAGGTCTTGTCCCTTGTTGTCTTTGACCCCTACTGTCTGTGGCTTTGCCTGAGCCCAAAGTACACACAGACAAGCACCCAAAGGAGGACTAAATGCAGGATAAAATGACACTCACTTTAAAGATATGTCTCAGCAAATGAGTTGCTGTGTAGTTGGCTGCAAGCCCAGACCCTTTCAGTGCAACATCCTAAATAATGCAGATCCGTTGGTCTATAATATAAAGTGCAAATGTAGCTCGTTTTTTAGACCAGTTTGAACATCAATAACAATAAACCAGAGATAACGTATTTTGTTTTCATAGAATTGGAACAAATTGAACTATCTGTGCAAAAGCACACTGGATCAAGGGGCAGAGGGGACAAGGTCTAATCTTTACAGCAAGCAGATTTTCCAGGGAAGGACTATGTCTGAGAAAGGGATAGGAGCCCTTAGTCCATGGGAGCTGGATGCAAACTCCTGACCAAGAGCGTGACAGATGAGCTGCTCCTGCCCCCGGGGCAAGCAACCTACACACTAGATGGCGGGGTGGGGGGGTTGCTCCTAAGTCGGACCAAGAATTAGCAATTTCTCTTTCATCACCCCCTTTCTCTTTCTTTCATTCTTAGGTCATCTTTACCTCTTACTCTGGCCGACCTAGCTCTTATTTCTTTCTTCAGAGCTGTTTTTCTTAGTTCAAGGTGTGTACCCATCTCCCTTGTGGTTCTAGTCATCCCTTTCTCCCGCAGCTTCCTTAGCAGTATGGATTGAGCAAGAGCTTTCAGAAACAAGACTCCAAGGCTCCCTTCTTATCCCGACCCTTCTCCACTTGCCTATTCCTTCCTCCTGGTTTCCTACCCCAGGTGTCTTCTTTTTTTTTTTTTTTAAAGATTTTATTTATTTATTTGAGAGAGAGAATGAAAGACAGAGCACGAGAGGGAAGGGGGTCAGAGGGAGAAGCAGACCCCCCGCTGAGCAGAGAGCCCGATGTGGGACTCAATCCAGGGACTCCAGGATCATGACCTGAGCCGAAGGCAGTCGCTTAACCAACTGAGCCACCCAGGCACCCACCCCAGGTGTCTTCTAAGGCTCTCAAGAACTCCATGAGTGTCCAAACTTCAGGAAAGGTAGAGAAGAAACACAGCCGACCTATACATAAATAACGCAGATCTTCAGAACCTTTTTGTTTTCGATTCTTTGTGAGAAAAGCAGTGTCTCATCTGAAACTAATGTAACACTATATGTCAACAAGCAGGAATTAAAATTAACACTTAAAAAAAAACTAAAAAAATAAGAATTTAAAAATTAAAACTTTAAAAAAAATTTTAAAAAGAAAAGTTGCTTCTCACTTTACCTAGACCATTTGGGACCTAACTCAGAGACAGCAGAATACCTTTCAGCAGGGAGAGATGCTTCTGGCATCTCTTCCATTGTTTTGAACCATTACTGCATACTATACTTTAAGAAAGTTAAATGATACCAGAAAGAAGTAGATGAATTTGCTCCAAGCCGAGGCTGCCAGGGCTCTGAGTAGAAGTCCCATCTGCTCTCCAGCTCAGCATGTTCTGCAAGACCTGCCACGACAGGCCTGTATGACAGAGATACCAATTGTTGAAGGGATGGGGTTTGATTCAGAGCTAATTTGTCCTCATTCTCAAAGAAAGGAATGAAAACCCTTCTCCCCCTATGCTCAGATAGTCCATTTCTAACCTCCAACATTCTTCTCCCTCTTCCTAGGACGGTAGTAGCCTGAAAACCTTTGTCTGGGTTGCTCTTAGAAACTCAGGAAGACAGGGGGCATCCCATAAACAGCAGCATCAGCAGTTTTGACCCTAAAATCAGGCTCCCCTCCCCATGAGTCTGTGCACGGAGGCATTCTAAGCAGTTTATTTGCTAATTCAATTTTCTTAACCTATCTCAAAGATGGAGATCAATGTGAGTCCAATCCCTGTTTAAATGGTGGCATATGCAAAGATGATATTAATTCCTATGAATGTTGGTGTCAAGCTGGATTTGAAGGAAAGAACTGTGAATTAGGTAAGTAACTATTTTTTGATTACTCGTGGTTCCACACTTCCCTGTGGAACCAGATGAAACTAGAAAATGCAATATTTATGTATCATAATTTTCTCTTAAAAACATATTCTTATCGTGGTAAAGAACACTTAACAGGAGATCTATTCTCTTTTTTTTGAGATTTTATTTTATTTACTTGAGAGAGAGAGAGGGAGAGCACAAGCAAGGGGAGGGGCAAAGGGAGAGGGAGAAGCAGGCTCCCTGCTAAGCAGAGAGCCCGATGCGGGACTCGATCCCAGGATGCTGAGATCATGACCTGAGCAGAAGGCAGACGCTTCACTGACTGAGCCACCCAGCTGTCCCAGGAGACCTATAGTCTTAACAAATTTTGAAGTGTACAATACAGTACTGTTCACTCTAGGCACTGTGTTGTTCAGCACATCTCTAGAACTCCTTCATCTTGCATAACTGAAACTTTATACCCGCTGAACAGCAGCTCCCCCATTTCCCCTTCCCTCGGCCCCTGGCAAACACAACTGTATTCTCTGTTTCTATGCGTCTGCCTGTTTTAGACACCTCAAATAAGTAGAATCATGCAGTATTTGTCCTTCTGTGATTGGCTCATTTCATTTAGCGTAATGTACTCCAGGTTCATCTGTGTTGTTGCATAAGACAGGATTTCCTTTTTTAAAAAGGCTGATACTATTCCATTGTGTAAAGCATATACTTTCAAAGCTTATAAACATTCATTGGGTCTGTAGTCCTAGTTTCTTGGATGAGTTCAAGAAACTACAGTAAGAGCAATAATAATATTTGGTAGCTAATATTAAGTGGTAATGATGCTCCCCTCACTTATTAATCCTCAATACAACCATATGCCCTCAGTACCATTATTATCCCCATTCTGTGCAGATGAGGAAACTATAGCTCAGACAGCTCAAAATCACAGAGGCAGTAAGTGGTTGAGCTAGAACTTGAACTTCACTTTGTCTGACCAAAACCCACCCTTCTCCTATCCACAAAATGCAAAGAAAATCAAACCCATAAAATTGAACTCGTGACTAAATTGTTATCAACATAGGCAGTGGAAGTCAATGAAATATAGAACTGAGATATGGCGAGGCCAATTCTCCATAAAATAGCCACTTCTCTGTACATACTAACCACTTCACATGTTACATTTGTTGACAAAAATCGGAGCTCACTCCTGAATTTGACTATATGGATCACATTGAAAGAGTTGCAAAGCAAATCTAGGAGCACTGTGCATCTTTTCTCCTTATAGCCTAGAATATTCCCCCCACCCCCGGGATTTTGGCAACTGGAACAGTAAATCCCCAAGTCCTTCTCCTACTTGCTTATTATCTCTGGATGCAAGATCACTGGTATTATGGTTGTGAAAGGCACACCATGCTAATGACAAAGTCTCTCTCTCCTCTGAAACTTCAGAAGAATGGAGATGCAATCCTAGGGAAAGAATTCAACAGCACAGTCTACCTGACTAAGGGCAAAGAGTAGAAAATTGGCAGGACTCTATTAAGACTTTCTCGCAATCCACCTGACACACAGATGAAAAAGACATAAAACAAAATGAAACTCAGCAGCTGCAGTTGTCCTACAGAGAAAGGGAAAAAAAAGTCACCTCTAATGTTGTTCAGAAATCTTTTCGGTACTAAAGAGAACTCCACGGATCATCTTCCTTTGAGAGCTAAAAAGATTTAAAAAAAGAATAGAAGATAACAAAAGGAAAAGGTGGCAGGGCAAAAACATTTAAAAAGAAAGAAAAGAATGGATGCAGGCAGAGGATCTGATACCCCTGGCTCGGGGTACGTCCCATCCCCTCAAATTTCCCAGCATGGGGGCAAACCAATGCCTGGGTTACCTTTCCTGTGGTTGTGGTAACTTGCTCGAGATCTCTGCAGTGTTACTTTCATCTGAAAGTTTCTAATTTCAAATTCAGATTTCCATAGACAAACCTGATCCTGCTATTATGGAAACCTACGGAAATCTGTGGAGTAGTTACTCATCAGCAGCTTAAATAATGTAGCCATTGGAGCTGAGGGAATGAATAACTCAATTAGTCTCAGTTCAAAATGAAGAGCACATTGTAGTAGAGTATAATTGAAAATAGTGTTTAGCGAGGCGCCTGGCGGGCTCAGTCGGTAGAGCACACGACTCTTGATCTCGGGCTTGTGAGTTCAAGCCCCACATTGGGTGCAGAGCTTACTTTAAAATAAATAAATAAATAAAATAAAATTAGGAGCAATTTTTAAAAAATAATGTTTAGCATTAAATATTCCTAAATGTCTTTAGTTTAAAATGAAGACACTTTAATGGAGGAGAATTACCCCGAGGAATGTAAATATAAGCACAGAACTTCTGTAACAGGGTTTGCTACCCACGTGAGGCTGTGGGCCACACAGCAGAAATATTGTCTATACCCGCCACCTCCTCAGGCCTCAGGTCCCGCACACGTTGGTTTGGGAAGGGCTCTGCAGTTGCAACTTCGTCTGCTACCATATCTGGCCTCTAGGGAGCGTTGATCTCCCCCGATCTACCTGATCAAGGTCAAGAAAAATCCTCTTGGTGCAGTTAGTCCAGAGACAAAGTGGGAATTCTCCCAAAAATCTTTTTTATCGCAGACACTAGAGGAAAACAGAAGCATATACAAACTCCCATTTAAGCTGTTGGTTCAAACCGATCTACGGACTGACTTCAAAGGCTGCTGGCAGCACGGTTTACAAAGCACTGGAGCCCCAAATTTCTTGCCTCACCCTTGTCTTGGAAAAAAAAGTGTGTGTGGGGGGGAGATTTCCATTGTTAAGATCTTGTTATTTGCCTTTTCCCTTGTTCATCAGGCTCCTCTCTGGGAGAAAGAGGTACAAACATTCAGGGCGTGCTTTCTAGTTAAAAGAGTAACAATGAATTGGCTACTGTGTCCCCGTGGTTAGAATAATGACCACTGTAGGTCCCCATTTACACATCACGTCTGAGGCCTTTCCAGATAGACCAAAGTCTGTAAGAACTTGGGTCATTCCCCTTTGAAGAGTACAAAAGGCATCTACCCACAGTAAGATAGGAGGGAGAGAGAAAAATCACAAGCACATAAACACTTTTTACACTTTGCTGACACACTGTAGACACCACACTCTTATTTACTGAGTATTTCTGTGGAACGGAGAAAGAAAATATCTCGAGTGTAGCTGAATACCAGTATATTCTATGGTAAGCTTGTTAAATAGAACATCTTTTGTCTGAGCTTTAGTTTTCACATCACAGAATATATGAGGGAAAATGAAGGCAGAGTAAAATAAAGCAGAACAGGATAACTTTGGTAGTAGGCAGGGGCAGAATTAGAAAGAGGTGTTTGGGCTAATATGAAGGGGAAAAAGAACAGATGCTTTGAGAGGCTCAACAGATATTCTAGGCACAGAGACCAGCCTCAGGACCAGGGAGAACCCATACCCAACACAGTGCTGGACATCTAAATGCTCAATAAAGCACTGATGAATGAGTCCCATAGTGACTGTTCCTTAGATCCTGGACTAGAGACCTCCCCACTGGAACTCCTTGGGCTACTATTCTATTTCCAGAATCTTGAGTCCTTTCTCTGAGAGCAAAAGACTGCTGATTGGACAGCAATATTTCCCACTGCACACACAACACAAGCCATGAAGAAAGATGGCACATGAGGAAAATGGCGGACAGGTCTAGTAACTTAAGCCAAGGACACAGAATCAGAATTGGGAAAACCACCCTGAGTGTATTCATTCCCATCATACATGCCCTGAACCACACTAGGCTGCACCTACCACCTACCTCTGTGAACTGACCACAATCTCATATTGACTGAACACTTTCTACAGGTGGTATTTGAGTTGGCTGAACACTTTAGTATTGCTTTGTAACAACAAAATGATAGCCAAAAACATGAAAAGAGCCAGGGATGTAATCACCATGAGTAAGGAGAAAGGTCTTTTAAAAATAAATATGAAGGACCAAGTGCCATCTTTTTGGCTCACGCACTTAGATTATTGGCAGCACAGATTAAAGCTCAGGTGGGTTCCTTTACCCATGCGGTAACAGTTGATTTGCTTCCCCTTAATTCCTGAAGTGGCAGTAAGGAACATGAGCAAATGATTACATTAACCTATGCGAGCCTATGTAAAATAGAATTTGAAAAGTGAGATCCGACACTCAACAATCCATAATATACTCCAAACCCATACAGTCACTCTGTTAGCCTGGATTCCCCAAGTCTGTGACTCGAGCTTATTTATTAGGGTGTGCAATCCTAGGGAGCAAGAGTAAGGGACAGGGGCGTGAGGCAGTGAGGAAAGGAGAACAGATCCTAGAAAGAGTCATCTCTCCTCATCTGCAACTGATCACTGGATCTCCTGGGACTATTTTCCATGGAGCCAGAGGAACTGACTTCAGGACAGTCCATCTGGGAGGGGAGAAGTGATGAAAGAATTTGTCCATCAGCATCTGTCTCCCAGTAGTCAGAAGTTTAGCCGAGGGGCCCTTAACTCCCCCACATCTCCAGGTTGTACTCGCTGGGGGGGGGGGGCACACAGGTGATGCAGGATCCCATGCCTCAGCGTCAACAGGGAAGTGCCAGGGTAAGAAGGGAGAGGCACATGGTGTGAATGCGAGCCAAGGCAATTCAAGGCTGCACCTGTATGAGGTCAGAAGTCGCTGCAGAGCAGCGGATGGCGACAGCACTGGCAAAGATAGCCATGGGGCTGAGAGGAACTAAGGTGGCACATAGCAGATGTCTAATAGAGTCACTCTTTTTCAAACTTTCCGTGTTCTTACTACACCAACAAGTAAGCGTTTCTCTTGAAAGTGGTACTGTTGTTGAACAGCTAGGTAAGGGAGAAGGCATCTCCTAGAGACAGCAGGTCTCAGCTAGCCAGCCCTGAACCATGCTACTTCCTGTTATTGAGACTGCATAGGAGAAACAAAGGGAAAACACGGTAATTAAAAAATACAAAATAAGATGGCACGAATAAACCAAATAGATCAGAAGTCAGAGGGTTTTTTTTAATTTTATTTTATTATGTTATGTTAATCACCATACATCATTAGTTTTTGATGTAGTGTTCCACGATTCATTGTTTGCGTATAACACCCAGTGCTCCATGCAGTACGTGCCCTCCTTAATACCATCACTGGACTAACCCATCCCCCCACCCCCCTCCCCTCTAAAACCCTCAGTTTGCTTCTCAGAGTCCATAGTCTCTCATGGTTTGTCTCCCCTTCCGATTTCCACCCCCTTCATTTTTCCCTTCCTTCTCCTAATGTCCTCCATGCTGTTCCTTATATTCCACAAATAAGTGAAACCATATGATAATTGATTTTCTCTGCTTGACTTATTTCACTTAGCATCATCTCCTCCAGTCCCATCCATGTCGCTGGGAAAGTTGGGTATTCATCCTTTCTGATGGCTGAGTAATATTCCATTGTATATATGAACCACATCTTCTTTATCCATTCATCTGTTGAAGGGCATCTCGGCTCTTTCCACAGTTTGGCTATTGTGGACATTGCTGCTATGAACATTGGGGTGCATATGGCTCTTCTTTTCACTACATCTGTGTCTTTGGGGTAAATACCCAGTAGTGCAATTTCTGGGTCATATGGTAGCTTTATTTTTAATTTTCTGAGGCACCTCCACTGTTTCCCAAAGTGGCTGTACCAACTTGCATTCCCACCAACAGTGTAAGAGAGTTCCCCTTTCTCCACAACCTCTCCAACATTTGTTGTTTCTTGCCTTGTCAATTTTTGCCATTCTAACAGAAGTCAGAGTTAATGTGAATTGGGGTTAATGGCAATTTTCAGTCTGGAGTTAAAAATCTAATTGTATGCTGTTGACAAAAAAAGATACCTAGAATAAAATTACACCAGGAGGCTAAACTAAATGGATGTAAAAATATTTCCAGGTAAATGCTAACAAAAAGAAACTGGTGAAGCAATCTTAATATCAGGCAAAATAGAATCCAAGACAGAAAGGATTAAAAGAGACAACACCACCTCATATTAATAAGGGAGACTGCATAGGAAAGTAAAGAAAATGTGGGTCACTAGAATGGTCATAAGTGCCCACACATAATATCTTTGGCATCTAGCCACCTTAAAGGACCTGATTTCATTCTCTTGTGCTGATATATACCCACCTCAGCCAGCTTCAAGTGTGCTTAGATAAATTGGATTATATTAAAGCTATGAACTTCAGTGGGGCACCCGGGTGGCTCAGGTGGTTAACTCTTGATTTCAGCTCAGGTCATGATCTCGGGGTCCTGCATCAGGCTCCAAACTCAGTAGGAAGTCTGTCTGAGATTCTTTCTCTCCTTCTGCGCCCCCCACTCTCTAAAATAAATAAACAAATCTTAAAAAAAAAAAACTATGGGGGTGCCTGGGTGGCTCAGATCGTTAAGTGTCTGCCTTCAGCTCAGGTCATGATCTCAGGTCCCTGAGATCAAGCCCCATATCAGGCTCCCTGTGGAGCCTGCTTCTCCTTCTCCCTCTGCCGCTCCCCTGCTTGTGCTCTCTCTCTCAAATAAATAAACAAAAATCTTTAAAAATAAATAAATAAAACATTAAAAAAAACCTATGAACTTCTATTCAACAAAATACACTATTTTAGGACAAAAAAGCAAGTCTTAGTGGGAGAAGAAACCAGCAATACGTATGTCCAAGAACTGGAACCCTCACACACCGATGCTGGGAATTTAAATTTGTACAATTATGTCAGAAAACTACTTGGCAGTATCTACTAAACCTGAACATATGATCCAACAATTGCACTCATAAGTATATACCCAGGATTCATGCATATATTACCAAAAGATATGTATTAGGAATGTTCATTACAGTATTACACCTAAGAGCCCCAAACTGGAAAGTCAACTCAAATATTCATCAGCAGTAAAATGAATAAAACAGTAATATTTACACAACGGAATACTACTTAGCATGCAAATGAACCACTGCTGTACAAATAACATGGATGAATCTCACAAAGTGTTACATGAAAGACACAGAGGAGTGCATATTGTGAGCTTCTATTTACATAAAGTTCATTAACAGGCAAAATTCCCTCTTAGAATCTGGTAGTGGATGGCAACTTTGGAAAGGAGGACCGGTGTAGTGGTGGAAGGGGGCATGGGGAGAGCCTCTGGGATGTGGATAATGGCCCATGCATTGATCGGTTTAGTGTTTAAACAGGTGCACACACTTTGTGAAAATTCACCCTGAAGTTTTGAGGGACTTCTCTGAATATATATTATCCTTTAATAAACAACTTCTTAAAATTGCAGTCCAAGATTTAGTGAAAGTAGAATACCCAAACCTTCAGTTTATGCCAAATCAAATATATTGCTGCCATTTTTATGCCTTATTAAGAATTTTATCTTTCCTTCCACTCTTAGCCCGAGGCTCCCAAGCTTCTCTCCATGAATGCCCCCTGCTTATATTTGACCTATCCATGAGTCAGTGGTTTCATGTACTCTTGAGAAACGCATGCGAAATGATGCTATTGCTGTTGATTTTGCTCTCTTTCAGATGTAACATGCAACATTAAGAATGGCAGATGCAAGCAGTTTTGTAAATTGGGCGCTGGTAACAAGGTGGTTTGCTCTTGTACCACAGGGTACCAACTTGCGGAAGACCAAAGGTCCTGTGAACCAACAGGTCAAAATCTAAATAAGTTGCTTTTTTTTTTTTAACCTGGGGAGATCCATCCTCCAAATCTCTATTTGAACCTTCAGGGCATTTTAACTAGCCTACCTACTTTTATAATCCCTATTTGTTTCTACTTCCTTTTGAGATCATAGAAAAGATTAGTAGCTTGAATTGGACAACTTTCCAAATGGCATCGTCATTTTAAATAGAAATTCTGCAACTGTCCTCAGTCTGCATTCTTTTCCATGTCCATTTTTTTCTGACTTTTCGATCATGAAGCAATCAATTTGTGTGATTTCTGTATATTTGTAATTTATCGAGAAAATTTCTGTAGTAATCGCAGGCCATACAAGATACATAACTGATTGGCTGTTAGGCTTCTAGTACATGGAATGGTGAATGTTAAGCCTGATTCTGTCAGGGTGTGGCTGGCTTACTCTGAGAAGGTTATTTCCTATCCTTGGGTCTCAGGCTGAGTTTACACGCTTGGCATCCAAAGAGTTCCAACGACCATCTCTTTCAAGTTGTGCCAGGCTGACCAACACAGTCATTCTGTACAGCTGTGGACAAAACAATGTTTCCCAGTCATGTCAACCAGGCCACATTGTTGACAGTGCATTCAGAACATCTCCACTCCACACTCATATTGCTCTTCTCTGAAATGAAAGCCATAGAAACTTTGATAAAAAAAATAAATAAATAAAGGAGGCTCCACAGGATCAATGATATTTGATAAATGAGGGGCCTTTTTGAAGCAAACTAGGTATCATTTCTTTTGCATTTTCAAAGCCTGGTATTAAATTGATACATTAAATAATGCACCATTCCTCTGTTAACAGGGTTTGATACCTATCTCACCAAAGCACCCGGCAGAGGAAATGAAAGAAAGGGCTAGACACCAAGAGTATATATACTGTTGCAACTAAAATGAAGAGTCTCTAATGCTTCAGGGACCTACCCACCCATCCTTCTGCCCAGTTCTTTACATGCAACGCTTCACAGCTAGCCCAGCTCCGGAGAAGAAGATCTATATGTTTGAACCTTCAGAATCTAACTTCCAGCATAGAAAGATGGCATAGTAGCTAAACCCTTATAAGCCCTTCTATGTTAGAAAAAAAAAAAAAAAAAAGAATTGAGAACCACCTTGAGCCATTAAGTGTTAGATTTGAATATAGCCTTATCCTTAGCAGAGTAAGTAGGCCAAACCTAAAATAAGCTCTCCTGCCTTTCAATAGTAATGGTCCCTTTTCTCTAGCCATTGTTGATGATGTATATTTATACATAAGTATTTTGAACTAATTTCCTGTTTTCCCAACCACATGCTGTCTTCATGATACTTTGCTGCAGCTGGTTGCTATAGAAATGTCTGTTAGAAGGAATGTGGTTAGAAGGAAAGTGAGAAATGAAAACGAAACGTGAGGTGACTTTGCTTGACTACAAATTTCCATTCTGGTTGTCCCCAGTGTATCAGGAGATGATTTCTTGTCTTTAGGAAATAAACTGACCCAAGGTAAAAAGGTGGCCAGTTCCCAGGCGGATGTGGCTATGATAATCATATTAGTAATTTCTTTGGTTAAAGGGTTGTTTTGTTTTTTTTTTTAAGTTGAAGTCATCTCTACACCCAACGTGAGGCTCAAGCTCATGACCCCAACATCAAGAGTCACGTGCTCTTCCAACTGAGCCAGCCAGGTGCCCCAGTAATTTACTTGGTTAATACTTAACCAAATTAAATAATTAAATCATAATTTCTTCCCAGCATACCCCTAAATCCACCTTGGTGTCTAGAAGGCATTCTAGTCTACTAAAGAAAGCCTGGTTCACAATAAGCAGCCAAAGTCCCATTTGCCTAATTCTAAAGTTAAAGTTACAGGGGCACCAGTCATCAGAATCCCATTTAGGGACAGTACTTAGGAGTAAGACTTTTTAGTAAAAAAAAAAAAGTCATTAGACTTTATAAAACTCTTACAAAATTTGATTCTGGAACACCTATTCCATCTCCGTAAAGATGATGGATTCCTGAGCCAAATGTTCTTTTCATGAAGTGTTTGAAAACTTTCCATGAAAATAATGCAATTAACCTTTTAGTTTGAGACTATATTCATTGATTAGATTTTTAAAATATTGATGGGCCTGCTTCTCAGAAGTGACAAGGACAGGCCTCATCCTCGATTTCTGTAATACACGCTCTGCTTGCCAATGAGAAATATCAGAATACTAAATTTTTTTCCCATGTTTCTAGTGCCATTTCCATGTGGAAGAGTTTCTGTCCCACACGTTTCTACGACACGCACCCGTGCTGAAACTTTTTTTTCCAATATGGACTATGAAAATTCCACTGAAGCGGAAAAAAATTTCGAGAACCTCACCCAACCTCTCAACGACCTTACTCGAATTGTTGGTGGAAAAGATGCCAAACCAGGTCAATTCCCTTGGCAGGTACTCTATATTAATGGTGTGTCAAAACTGGAGCCCAGAGGGCAAGGGACAGGCCAGGCAGGGGCTGAGGCGAGGGCACTAGACAGGCCTATTGCAGTGGGGCAAGTGTTCAGGCAAGTTTCAACACTAAGCAATATGAAGAAGCCCTCAGTAGTGGGGAGCTGGTGAGAGAGAAGTCCAGGGACAGCTACCATACAAGGTCAAGAAGAGTTTGACACCAAGGAAAGCATAGCAGGGTTCCAGACATGAAACTGGGAGGTCTGGAAGCGAGGTCACAGGTACTGGGGTTCAGGGTACTACTTCAGCTCATGGGAGAACGGGTGAAAGAAAGTCTAGGTCCAGAGAAACTGGATTATTTTGAAGGGATTTATTTATTTATTTATTTGAGAGTGATCACGAGCAGGGGGGAAGGGTAGAGGGAGAAGCAGACTCCCCACTGAGCAGGGAGCCCGATGCAGGACCCTGGGATCATGACCTGAGCCGAAGGCAGACGCTTCACCGACTGAGCCACCCAGGCGCCCTTGGTACCTAGACCCACATTTCTCCAGATGTGATCTTCAGACAACCCACATGAGAATCACCTGTGCACATTTCTGAGGCAACTACCGAGAGCTAGATTTGTAGCAAAACTTGTCATTGACCCTACAGCTAAAGTCTGAGTGATTCCATCTGCGAGAAGTGGGCCCCAGAGGCCAGGAGCCAGGCTGGTCCTTATATAAAGTGGAGCTGTCCAGGAACATAACTACTAACCACATGTAGCTATTTAAATCTAAATAACTGCCATTAAGTACAATTAAAAACTCATCTCAAGCACACCGGCCACATTTCAAGTGCACGATAGCCACACAGGGCTGGTGGTCATGGTACTGAACAGCACAGGTACAGAACACAGCCACCATTGCAGAAAATTCTATTGGACAGTGCTTAGAACAGTTTAGTCTAACTCAAAACTCCCTAGTCGCCACAGTCATATGATTTTGTGGCTATTTCAAAATACTTCAAAATATTTTCTCTACTGAGGTCTGAATTTTTGCCATCAGGGACCAGTAACTTCAAAGACTTTTCAATCATCAAACCAGTAACAATTTAAGCCAGGATCAGGTAAATGTCCCAGGTGTAACACCACTGGAATTCTCTGAAACTATGTATCTATTCAGGATTCTTCAGAATGCCTGACATTTTCCAATATAATGGGTGTTAAGATATTGAACATTTGCCTGGGAGGTAGGGATTGGCACATTGTAGAGAATGGTACTGAAGGGGAGCAGGCCTTCCCAACAAAGACTATATTTTCTGTTCTTTTACCTTGGCTTTGCCTTTTTTTTTAATGATTTTATTTATTTGAGACAGAGAGCACAAGTCAGGGGGCAGGGCAGAAGGAGAGGGAGAAGCAGACTCCCCATTGAGCAGGGAGCCCGATATGGGGTTCGATCCCAGGACCCTGGCATCTCGACCCAAGCCAAAGGCAGACGCTTAACGGACTGAGCCCCACCTTGGCTTTGCTTTTAAGAATATTTGTTGGACTTGATCTTACAGCCACTAAAATACACTGTGTGTTCCCTGATACCCCCTCTATCCCCTATTTAGGCATCCTACCAGCACTGCTTCCCTCATTCACCATGACCTCTTCCTTCACTCGTCCACATCTCTATTCTCCTTCATGACTCTTCATAAGAACGATCTCCACTGATCTTTCCTTGAACAATCGCAACTGGATCCAGCCACTCTAATTATGCTTTCATTCTATTTAACATCCATGTATCTAATTCTATCTAATTTTACTATTTGTGTTCTTAGGCATTCTCATTCATTATGTATCCAACTTCCATGGATAGGTGGTTGGAACAAAAGATCCTACTTTATAATAATTATCTTCCTTGGGGTTGTGGGACATAAAGCAGTCCCTAGAGTGGAGGATCCATAAACCCAGGGGTGTTTTATTAGCTAAAAGATGACTTTTCTTTAAAAAAAACAAAAACACTCCAGCATTAAAAAAATATCCCAAGATGCACACATTGTGGGCTCAGCATTGTTCCCTTGTCAACCCAGAAATGAAATTGGTAAACACACTTAAATAAGAGCTAATGGGGGGTATAAAGTCCCAATTTAGTCACATAATCTCTCCACTCTCCACCCACCCCCTTTAAGCCAGATGCTCGCCAAAGTTTTAACAATGCAAGTCTTTCCTAATAGAAATTTTAGTAACTCTAGCAAGCTATTTTTTTTCTTTTAAATAGAAGAAACTATTAGATGATGGTTGCAGTTGTCTGCTAAGGAAGAAGATATAAATGATACACATCATTTCAAATCTTTTGATGTCATCTTCATTGCACACTTACATAGTATACTTGTTGACTCTTTCCCATCAAGCCTAGCTAAGATCATTTGGAATGTTCAAGACCACTCAAGCACATGTTCACTCCCATTTCGTCCATATGAAGTAGGATTACTGACTGTAGAGGCACAAAGCCCTAAGTTTTAGTCTTTTTCAAGGGTGAAGAGCTGAGCTCCTTTCTAGAGTACTTGAGAAAGACCCTGTCATACTTCTGCACTGTTTCCTTCTCACCCAAGAGAGGTCTCTCCACACCCACCTCCAGCCACTTTCTCACAAAAGGTTACTGGTTTTCAAAACTAAGAGATAAACTGAGTGTACAAAAGTCACTTGCAAAGACCAAACAGGAAATGAAACAAACCAGAGTCTCTCATCTGTGGATGAGCCAGCTCCACATCCCCGCTAATCTGCAAGGTGGAAATACTTGGTTTGATTGCAGGCAAGACTGCAATACACCTGCTGCAGCCAAGGCATCAAGAGAAAGCAAGCAACAGCTGGGGCTTCCATGGCCAAAACAGTGCATCTATGGCTCGGAAATATGAAGCAGTTTAGTAATACCACCCAGAAAGGATTCCCAATTCCCATGCTTCCTAAAAGGATGGGGGCGGGGGATGAAGCGACCACTTGGGTGAACAAATCGCACAAAAAGAACGTAGGGAGGTCACTTTCATCTGGAGTAATGAATGGCATCAAGCTGGAAAGGTTTAGCGGGCTAAGGAAAAGGGCTAAGTTAGCTGTTTGCAAGAGCTAAGGGGCCACAGAGGAAGGGAGAAGGCGACTTTTTCTTTTAGGGTTTATTCGTGAAAGTTAGAGGCAGGCAAGCAGATTCTGGCCCCGGTTAAGAAAGCCCTCTCCAACCACAGTGTCGGTGAGGTGGGCTGGGCAGCTTTGGGAGGCAACTTTGGTTGAACCCATGTTTGTTGAACTGTTAACGCGAAGAGCTGGGGACAGCACCGGCCTGATAAACCCGTGGAGAGAGCGTCGAGGCCCTTGGTTCATCTGGTGGGAGAGTAGAGCAGGCTAGGGGACCTCTGCCACCCCATCCAGGTTGAGAACCTAAGAAGTGAGGTTCACCTTGCCCCTAGCTCAAACGTGGCCATGTTCAGTCCTTACCTTATTCGAGGGCTTTCCCTTCAGCTTCCGGGCTGGAGGCGAAGCCGCACTGGGCCTACCCCCTGCCACGGGGCTGTTCCCATAACCCCCTCAGGTTCCAGCCTTGGGGCCAGCCCCACCCCCAACACCTAAGGCCAAAGGCGCTGGCGGACTTGCCTGACCTCTAACCTCCCTGCGGTGGAGGGGAGGCGGGGCGGGGCGGGCGTGAGGCCAAGTTCCTTCATTTTCCCTCCAGATGGCGGCGGAGGGCTCAGAGCCTCTGGAGAGCTCAGGGAGAGGGGGCAGGGACTCTGCAGGGATACTCCAGGAGCCAGGAGAGGAAGCTGGAGGGTGAAGTGCACTACACAGGAACAGAAAGGACAGTTCCTAGAGTCACTATTATCCTTAGAGTGGGAAACAAAAACAAGACTCAAATTTCATACAGGTACATAGGGAAGCCATGAAAACCTTTGAATATTAGAGAAAAAACGGAAATCAAAACACCTTCATCAACAGCTTAAAAGAGAAATTTGAGAAAACAACCCCATGTTTTGGCTTTCTAAAGCTTTAATTTGGTTTTGGTCCCTTGCCCTTAACCTTGTCAGCCAATAATTCTGGGCATGCACAAACTTGCCCCAAGAGCTCCTCCCACCTCTTCTGTTTTGGGTTTGGAGCTGTCTGGCCTTGAATGTGAAGTACCTGGTCTTTCTATTTTCTGTTTCATCATGGGCCTCAGCTCTGTATTAGCCATAGTTATTCTACATTTAATAATTTGGAGATCATTCTACCAGATTGAAAAAATGGAATACAATGGAAGCCAAGTGGTTAAGCTTTCCTTAACCTTTATATTAATTTGTATCGTATACAACTGACAATATTCAAATGTTTTAACCAGCAAAATGTGTTGAGAAGCAGTCTGTGTATTCCTTATTCTGTTCTTGGCCTAAAAAAATCTTTAAAACATCTCAGCACTTTCCCCAGTCTCAGCTTTCCTCAGCTTTGGCCTGAAACTATCCTTAAAGATACCTGAGCTCTTGACCTGCACAGCTACTCACACGCCCAATCCTTTCCATCAGGTTAAGACACATCCCTATGGCAGATAGCATAGAGTTACCATATGTATGAATCAGAACTTTTTCTTTCTTTTTATTGGAAAAGGGGAGGATTGGGAGAAAGATTTTATATGATGGGCCTAAGACTATAGACACGTCTTTACCTGGAAAAATTTAACCCTCAAATGATAAAGTTTCAATTAAGAGAAATAAAAACATGACTAATCTCCCCTGGCCCCACAAAACTATTTTGGACAGAACATTTAGATTATTATTCTCTAAGATGGATTGGTGAAAACTATTTCTTTTTTTTTTTTTAAGATTTTATTTATTTATTTGAGAGAGACAGTGAGAGAGGGAACACAAGCAGGGAGAGTGGGAGAGGAGAAGCAGGCTTCCCGCGGAGCAGGGAGCCCGATGCAGGGCTCGATCCCAGGACCCTGAGATCATGACCTGAGCCGAAGGCAGACGCTTAACGACTGAGCTACCCAGGCACCCCGGTGAAAGCTATTTCAATGACGAGTTTAGTTAACCATTAAAAACTGAAAATGAAAAAGAGAATGAGCATCCCCTCTGTGCCCAGAAAAATGAAGTCAGGCCAATGGCTGGGCGAATCACACCTGTGGGCATAACGAGCTGTCCATCCTGCAGAAATGGTTGTGCTTTTGATATGAGAGAATGAGTGTGCAAACCGGAAAAAAATGTAATTGGAAAGCTGGAGGTGGCTACATAGAGAGAGAGAGGAAGAGTTTACTGAAAATCACAGGGAAAGGCCAGATTCAAGTTAAAGGTCAGGAAGAGAATAACAGGGCGACAGCTATTACTCGGGGCCAGCATTATCAATGAAGAGCATCAGAAGAGATAAGTGAGTGTGTATTTTCTAGATGGATGTGGTGTGTTTGGTGTGCATCTGTGTATGTGTCTGAAAGAGAGAAAACAGGCTCCTATTAGGATAGGACAAACATGAAAAGGATTGACAGTTCAGAACTTGGATGCCTTGCTCAGAACATATGCTTTCCCATTTTTCCCTTCATTTTCCAAAGTGATGTCTTACAAGAACTTGTCCTTGGCCAAGCAGACAGCTCATCTCCAAATAGCTCATATTTAGATAGCTGTGATCCTGTGGTAGCCAAGCAAACATTCCTAAATCTAGTCATTTGTAATATCTTTAAATGCAAATATATTTTAGGGCGTTTTATTGGCAAAGATGTTTGCTAAAATTTCTAATACCAATCAGGGACTGGCAAAAAAAAAAAAAAATGCTCTTCGGGCTCAAAAAAACACAATCATATTTCTCAGCCATCCACCAGAAAGGAATAGAAGCTCCAGGCAGCAAGTCTTTGGCAGGAGTCAGACTAGCTACATCATAGTCTTTGTGCCCAGGGGCTGTGGATATCATTCAGCCTGGCCTAACCAACCCATTAAGCTGAGAGATGCCTAGTCACCTCTAATACAGAGGAAAAGCACCATTCTGTTATTGCTTGTGAATTCATAACTCTAATTACTGGAACGGATGTATTCAGATGTGACCATGAAGCCCCGTGTAGGACAGTGTTACCCAAACCTGCCTAGTGATACAAATCACCTGGGGTCAGGGCCAGCTTCATGAGCTTGTAACCAGTGGACCTGCATGAGGCCTTGCTTTTGGAAGGGTCCCAAATTTGGAGTTTAATGCTTTGTGTTTTGCAACTCGAGTCTGATGAGACAGGGAAGCAGCCGTGCGCTGGGAGCCTAGAACCTCTCACCACCTCCCTGGGATGGATTCTTCACCTCCCACTCCCTTGTCCCCTGGTTCGTTGGCCAGGTCTGCATCTTCCTCCCCATACATGCCCAACGACCACTGCCACCCTCAGCCCATGGCATGCTAGCGTACTCCCCTCCACTTCTCCAACAGCCATCTGCGTCCCCCTCCTCCTGCACCAGCACAGGGAGGGTTGAGGCTGGGTATACACACTCTATGCCATTTGGGGAGGGGGCACGGCCACATAGCATCTCAGGTCCAGAAGTGTGTCACAGCTCATTTGGAGGGTGGATGGTGGGGGCAAGCCTCTTGCCCACCTCCATTGCAGGAGCTGAGCACGTCCCGGCATGGAAGTTGTAACCGCTTGAGAATCACGCCTCCACTGTTGGTTGCTGCAGTGGGCCAGTGAGAAGGGCCGATTGACTTACCTTCCCCTGCTGCAACATAGGGTCGGTGGGACAGGGGGCCTTGCAGCCAAGGGCATTTGTGTTTGCATGCCAAATCATAGGGTGCAGCTCCTGGGCACCCATCAGTGTCTGCACTCTCCCCACAAATAGCCCCCAGGCCTGAGAACGCATGACATGAAGTAGTAAAATTAAAATCACCATCGGGGCACCCAGGTTGCTCAGTCAGTTAAGCATCTGACTCTTGATCTCGGCTCAGGTCCTGATCTCAGGTCTTGATCTCAAGCCCCACACCCAGCGTGGAGCCTACTTTAAAAAAAATAAAGTAAAATAAAAAATAAAAACCCTCTTGGGGTACCTGGATGGCTCAGTCAGTGAAGCGTCTGCCTTCGGCTCAGGTCGTGGGATCAAGTCCCATGTTGGGCTCCCCACTCAGCAGGGAGTCTGCTTATCCCTCTCCCTCTCCCTATGCCCCTCCCCCTACCTGTGCACTCTCTCTCTCTCTCTCCTCTCTCAAATAAATAAAAATCTTTAAAATAAATAATAAAAAAATAAAAACCCCATGATAGATTGCAAGAGACCATAGAAGAAAGAAAAAAAAAATTGTACTTAAGTATTTTCAATGGCATGGTTTTTTCCTGGCTTTTGAACAAGGGGCTCCACATTTTCATTTTGCACTGAGCCCCACAAATTATGTAGCCAGCTCTGTGTGGACTAAGCACTTTTAAAACACAAAGGTCACGAAGCCTTGGAAATTCTGAAACAGAATTTCTCAAACTTAATCATGCATAAGGATTTTCTGGAGATCTTCATTTCCTCCAGTCACACCCACCAAATATTCTAATTAAGTTCTGGTGGGCCCCCAAATCTGCATTTTACAAGCATCTGAGATGCTTCTACTGCAATTGGTCCACTGACCACACTTGGAGACCTACTGTGCTCTTAGGAGCATAGATTCTGAAGCCCGGTAGACTAGGGTTTGCATCCTAGCTTCACCACTGATCTTAAAGGAGTTAATGTACATATCTAAAACTCGGTTTGCTCATCTATAAGTGGATATATTAATATCATTCCACAAAGTGGTGTATTAAATGTACATAAAACACTCAGCACAATGATTCGTCCATGGTAAGCAATCGATAAATGTTCAAAAAAATTAAGACTGTTACGTCTGGGTGGTGGTGGCTACCCGGGTGTTTATTATATTATTATGTGAGTTTTCCTATATTTTTACAACTTTTCAAAATAAAAAGCAACAGCCAGAAGGAGAGAGAAAGCTAAAGTGTGGAAAAAGGGGTCAGAAACTTGCAGTGAGTCAGCCCTAAAGGTCTCCGAGTAGGAGGCCAATGCTTCAGTGTCTAGGACTTGTTTAGTAGGTGTTCAGTAAATTGAACTCAGGACAAAAAGAATCTTCACTAGAACCTTCTCAGACTCACACTTAAGGGCACTGACCACTTTTTTCCCTTGGTTTAGAAATGGATTTATGCCTGAGAGGAGGTGTACTTTAGTAAAAGGACATGAGTTCGTAAGAGCTGGTCGGCTTCCGCATACGGTTTACCAAATGTTCAGTGCACCCTCTAGTGTCCATACTTCTCAGCTTCCTTCCTGAAGAGATGGCTCGAGGCCTTTGGGCACACTGGAAGTGAAATTCTCCAAGTTGATCTAGAGATTGAGGTGGTAAAAATATTCATCGTCCACTCTGGTTATACAATAAAATGTACAAATGAAAGAACGGACTGGCCTCTTATCTAATAATGCCCAGGCTCAAACCAGCACCCGAATGCCTCTGTCCACTTTGCCCAAGCACAGCTAAGGAGACCTGTCGGGACAGAGGCAGCTTCCACGTCCAGCCAAGGGGACTGGAATATGGCTAGGGGAAAAGGGAAGGAGTGCATGTGCCCTGCTGTTCCTCACTGCCCGGATGGCTGTAAGTACAGCTCCTACAGAGGCCAGTGGTCTCAATTCATAGTTTGAAACGGGCTTAAAAAGACTTCAGGGAGGGGCGCCTGGGGGGCTCAGTCGTCAAGCGTCTGCCTTCGGCTCAGGTCATGATCACAGGGTCCTGGGATTGAGCCCCACATCGGGCTCCCTGCTCAGCGGAAAGCCTGCTTCTCCTTTCCCTCTGTGCCCCCCTCTGCTTGTGCTCACTTTCTCTCTCTCTGTCAAATAAATAAATAAAATCTTAAAAAAAAAAAAAAAAAAACCTCAGGGAAAAATCAGTACTTTTTCTCTTTCAAATCACCCTGTAGCAAGGTTTCCTCATGCAGCGACAGAAGACTCAATAGTAACTATGGATCTGGAGGAGTCAAGTAAATTTCTGAATTTACCTGCCATATTCCCATGAAACAATCTGTGCCATCAGAGAATCCGACTCACCTGGAAAAAGCAGCCAAGGGCCCCAAATCACCAAAAGAAGCCATTCCCTCATATTCGCCTCCTCTAGAGCTCCCCCTGGCTCTCCTTGCACATTCTCTTCAAGACAGTTACAGAAATGGCTTTTTTGATTGCGCTCCAGAAACACTAACTCATCTGCAAAGCTGACACTTTCCAGAAACACTCCAGTTCTGCCAGCACCTAGAATCAAACTTTGCCCACTCCTATCAACAGCACCTGTATTTATTTTGTTCTGGATCAAACACCTTATGTAGTAAGTTTCATGATTTTGTTTCCACAGGTCCTTTTGAATGGGAAAGTTGATGCATTCTGTGGAGGTTCCATCATCAATGAAAAATGGGTGGTAACTGCAGCCCACTGCATTGAGCCTGATGATAAAATTACCGTGGTTGCAGGTAAATAAACAAAAAAGGATAGGAATCGGCAGTATCACTAGATCTTCTATATGATTGGTGCATCGTATTTTCCTAAGGTCTACTAAGTTCTTTGCGAAATAAGTTGGGCTAGTGCCATATTTCTAGGAGGAGGAGCCATATTTCTAGAACCTAACTTCTTCCATCCTCCAAGCCCCCCATAGTTCTTTCGGTGTGCCCAGATTCACCCCCATCTCACAGGGGTACAATTATGTATGATGTGTGCATTTCCCCACCAGACTGAGCCTTCCCCAACGCCGTGTCGTATCATTTGCCTTTGTACCTCTGGTGCCTGGCACGACCTTTGAATGAATGACCCAATGACTACATTATCTGTGCTCAAAAAAGGGGTCAAAATCCTTGAAATTAGGAAAGTCTAGGGTAGTTCATGCCAAGTAGATTCATTACCACCTCAACAACGTAAGGTTTGTACCACCATGGGAGAACAAGCCAGCTACATGACGGTCCCGAATGGGTTTTTGGTCTGAAATGTATGCATTGGCCCTCATTACATTTTACCAAAATCCTAGCAACGTAAGACTGAGATTGTTGACACTTGGTTGCCAGTTAATTGAGGGATGCCGAGAATCTTGGGCAATCTGTTTCCTTATGTGTATGTCTACCTGTGACTGAAGAGAAATTTATTTTCCATAGGTGAACATAACACCGAGGTGAGGGAACCTACAGAGCAAAAGCGAAATGTGATTCGCACTATTCTTCACCACAGCTACAATGCAACTGTTAATAAGTACAACCATGACATTGCCCTTCTGGAACTGAATGAACCCTTAACGCTAAACAGCTATGTAACACCTATTTGCGTTGCTGACAGGGAATACACGAACATCTTCCTCAAATTTGGATCTGGCTACGTGAGTGGCTGGGGGAGAGTCTTCAACAGAGGGAGATCAGCTTCAACTCTTCAGTACCTTAAAGTTCCACTTGTTGACCGAGCCACATGCCTTCGCTCCACAAAGTTCACCATCTATAATAACATGTTCTGTGCTGGCTTCCATGAGGGAGGTAAAGATTCATGCCAGGGAGATAGTGGGGGACCCCATATTACTGAAGTGGAAGGCATCAGTTTCTTAACTGGAATCATTAGCTGGGGTGAAGAGTGTGCAATGAAAGGAAAATACGGAATATATACCAAGGTGTCCCGGTATGTCAACTGGATCAAAGAAAAGACAAAGCTCACTTAAAGAAAAAAAAATGTATTTCCAAGGTTGACATATTTGGGGGTCGAGATGGACAAGGGCCTTTACTGACTAATCACTTTCCTATCTCTTTAGATTTGACTGTCTGCATTCTATGAATACTGCTTTTTCTCTTTATGGGGAGAAATCTATCTAGAATTCCTATTTTACTAGAGTAAGTAGATTAGCAAATGTAATCACTAGAGGAATGTACTGTGATAGGAAATTGTGACCATTCCCACAGGTCCAGCCCTTGACAAAACTGTGAAGTTAAGTTCTTCATCCTGCCCATCGGGCATTAAGTTTCTCCACTGGGGCAACTCTCTGATTCTCCCTCCTTAGCAGCATTCTATGTTCCAGATCTTTCTTACCTCTCCCACCAAAATCATCAAAACGTATTAGATCTATATCTGGGATATTTGGTCTAGTTCACGAGAAGGCGAGCACCACACTCATAAAGGACGAACACAGGGGGAGCCGACAGGTGGAAACTCACCAGAAAACACTACTTCCTTTTCTGTACCCTTATTCCTGCTTCCTCGATCTCTTCCGTTTCCTAATCCCGAAATCAGTTTCTCTCTCCCTCCCTCTCTCCTCTTTTCCCTACAAGGGATTAAAGGAGGGAAGGGGCACATCATGCTGTTTTCCTGTCCACAGTTGTACATGTCTGTCAAACCCAGACTTGCTTTCAGTTTGGTCTTTGACTTGCTTTTCAGAGCATAGGGATGAAGTAAGGTGCCCGAAGAACTTGGGAGGAAAAGTTCCTCTGAGAGAGTCATGTTATTAAAATACATACATCACGGAAGGAATGACCCATCAGAATAGTTCCCTAAGAGCTTGTCATTGCGTTGTGATGGAGGTAACTTCTAAGAAGGGTGACGTCACCTCACGTGTCTCGTCCTCCATCTGAAAAAATGTTAACAGAAAGAGAAGAACAGTCAGTTTGCAATCTAGAACTAGTAGAGTCTTCAAGGAAGAATTCCACAGTGTGTCTCCCGTACCGCCCAGGGCTAAGGAAGAAGTTGCCCTAGACCAGAGAACATGAGCATCATGTCTCCTAAACGAGCATATCCGCACCGTGGAGAAGGGTGCACCCCTTTTCTGGTTTCATGCTCTCCAGGCAACTGTTTGATTATAATTAGGCCTTCCATATTGAATCTTCTACAGGGTTGCTGACCAACCTACACATGTACTTTGATGTGTTAGAATGGCTCCCTTTGTGAATTAATAAACTGGTGTTCTGGTTCATACCGCAGCTTTTTGTGAATTTGGTTGATGTGAATCAGTCATCCCGTATTTCATGATGTGAGACCACTGACGAAATCAGGTTTGGGACTGCTTTGACCCCACCAAGCTGCTGCCCTCACCCACCCCCAGCCAGGCCTCACTCTTGCTGATTTCTTTCCAAGTGCTTCTAGTTAATACCTTTTTACTTTAGTCTTTCAAACGTAAGCGCCAATTAACGTATTTTCAAATTTCTCAAAAAGCGTTTCTTTTGCATCATTCACAGAGAAGTACCGCAAACACCCCATTCAGCAGAACGCTGAGCATAATGTGTCCGAGGGCAATACGACACATCAGAATTCAATGCTCCGCTGTCACCCGGCTTTCATATGAGGCGGTGTTCTGTCCTGGAGAGGACAGTGGTCTGGATCCACCTGGGACAGAATCGAGTTTAAATAGCTGTGGATATGGCCTTGGATAAATCACTCCACATTTGGGGCTCTGATTTCTCCATTTGTACAGTGAAGGCGTTTGACAGGATGCTCTCCAAAGGCCCTTGTTGACCTTGATAGTCTGTGATTTCCTGCTCTTTCATTCCTTCATTCGACAAATATTCAAGGACTGAGTACTGTGTGCCAAACGCCAATGTGTTCAGTAAACTTGAATCCCTATTTATATATTTTGTGAGTTAACTAAAATAAGTATATACATTACTACCCAGTAGATGCTCAACAAAAGTTAGCTGAATCTGAACCCGTGTTTATTCCAGAGCAGGGATTAGTCTTGTATCGAGAGTCCTGAAAGGAGGCCATAATAAATAACAATAGTGAGTGGGATTGAGGTTTCACGAACAAACAAATCAGTTCCGCTATTGTTAGCTAAAGGAGGGAAAAGAGAGGAGACACCACAATTGTCCGCCTTAGGTTTGAGGAGGATACTGATTCGTGCCCAAAAACCCCAGTCGCTTCACATTTGAATGACTAAAGGTCTGTAGCAGTTGGTAAAAGTGAGCCGTTCCGGCCTGGTTGCCATGGAGACCACCCCGGACAAAGGCAGCAATGGGGGGGGGGCTTTACACCTCCTGTGATTGGTCTTCCCGGTGGCAGAGAAAGAAGATCCTGGGCCCACAAAGCTCCAAGCCACAGTTAGCCTTTTTCCCATGAGCTCAAACACGACTGGATTCCTCACGAGCCCCCTGCAGCGCTACACACGTGGGACCCCTCAGCCCAGCCGAGAGCCCGAGCCTTCGGAGCCAGGGCCTCGCTAGACTCTCCCTAGGCATGTGCAGTCGCCACGGAAGAATCATTCGCTTTCGAAATCGCTGTAGCTACTTAACCTAAACGGGCGGAAACATGCTCCTGCAACATTGTGGGTGGCATGAAAACAGAGTCCTGCTGAGCGAAGAAAACTGTGTTAATGCAGTGCTGTCATTGTAACTTGCCGCTTAAGGAGGACTGGCTTTGGTTCTTGGGAAGAGTAGCTGTTTTGTGATGGCAGGAACAGAGTACTGTCCAGTTTGTTTGCTCTGTCAAGGGGAAAAGAAAGGCTTTTCCCCCTGCTCTCCTAACCCATGGCAGACCAGTTCACAAAGTCGCTTAATTCGCATTTCTCAACAACTCCCGAAGGCTCACAGTCCAATTTAAGAATGTCAGAGCTGCCCGGGCCCTCAGACACCATCAAAACCACTCTGCCCATTTAACAGATGAGGCCCCGGCCAGAGTGACACAATGGCAGAGTCGGAACTAGAACTCAGGTCTCCCGCTCTGAACCATGGAAGTGTTACCCCGGTGGCCATCCCAGTCCTCCCAACCCTGGCACCGCAAATCGCGGTCCATCCTACCAGGGATGCTCTCATTGACAAACAGGCGGACCGACTCAAGACCCTCAGGGAGTCTGGGAGGCAGAGTGGCGGGCAAAGACCGGGGGGGGGGGGGGGGGGGGTTGGTTCTGCAGCCGCCGGCTCCCAGCAGGCACTGGGGAGGGAGGGCATGGGGAACACAGCTGCGGGTGCCGGGCTCCGGCTGTCAGCCCAGCTGCGGGCACGGGGGGCCTTCCCGATGGGACACCTGACTTGTAGAGCCAGCGTGTCAGTGTCAGCGGGCACATTTCCGCGGGCCCGCGGGCCACTCGCGAAGCTGGGAGGCCCAGGGCAGCGGCGCTCCCGACCAAGCGGTGCAGCCGTGGGGGGGCCAGGAAACCGGTTTCAGCGGCTGGCAGGCCTGTCTGAGCAAAGCGCTCAGGAAATCCGGGCTCTTTCCGAATCTGAAGCCAATGCCATCTAGAAATCTCATGGTTGAAAGCCACAAAAATCAGCATGTTCCGCACACTCTGGAGGCTGCCGAGGAGTCACAGGAGGCAAGAGACTGTGGAGTCCCCGCCCTTTCAACCTATCCAGGTACACAGACCACGTGACTCATTGTCTCCGACCGTACTTTCAAGGCAGACCCTTTTTACCCTATCCTTGAAGTTATGGCTTGCCTGGAGATTTCCAGAGTTATTTCAACCTCTAGCAGCCTTTCTTTTCTTTCTTTTTTTTTTTTTTTTTAAGATTTTTATTTATTTGCGAGAGAGAGAATGAGAGACAGAGAGCATGAGAGGGAGGAGGGTCAGAGGGAGAAGCAGACTCCCTGCTGAGCAGGGAGCCTGATGTGGGACTCGATCCCGGGACTCCAGGATCCTGACCTGAGCCAAAGGCAGTCGCTTAACCAACTGAGCCACCCAGGCGCCCCCCTCTAGCAGCCTTTCTTATAGATAAAGAAGCCACAGCTTCTGGAACAGGGCCAAAGTGTCTTCTCCACACCCTCACAGGTCGACAGCAGGATCTCCAACCCCTGGCCAGATCCTTTCCCTCTGGTAGGAGTTTCCCTCTTGGTCCAGAGAAGGATGGAAATAGGAACAGGGATATTCTTGATGCCAAAGACTTCTTTTCAAACAGTTGCTTCATTGCAATGTTAAATATGAGATCTTAATCTATAAAAATTGCTGAAATAGTAAATCTTCCAAATGCTGTCATTCTTAAGCTTTTAGAAATGCGGTACTCTCTAACTTCTCCAGATCTCTAACCGTGAAGTGGCTTAAGCACCGACCTCATAAAGATAAAGGGATCCCATGATTTAGACATTATGTGCTTTGCTGAACATCTATATATAAAAATCTATTTTCCAATTGGAACATGACAAAAATAAGCATGCATTTTCATGATATTGAAACTCAGCTCTAAAGGAAGCCAAATTAAGAATGCAACAAGTCTCTGAGAAACTCAGCGCATGCTTGTTAAATGAATAAACCAATACATGAATGAAATGGGAGGACAAAAGCTACTACAGACCACATCAATGCAAAATTCAGGCATCTAAGGTAGCAATGAGATCACCATCCTGAACGCATACGGGAATATGCCATAGAAAGGGAGACAGACCAACAGAGAGACCTTCTACAATCAGTTACTTCCAAGGATATAAAGAGGAGTTCTAATTTCTAGGAAATGCAAAAAAAAAAGATTAGCCTAGAAGACTATGCTTATAGCCCTGGCCTTTTCCTCTCCTGTTAACATTTCTTGCTTTTGTGTTTGTGTTCTCTAGAAACTGGACTTACCTCTCATCTGTGCTTTGTATCCTCATAGATAATTTGTTGTTGTACCTTGTTTTTATAGAGTCAATTCTTAGCTTTATATATTTATATTTTAAAGCTTTATATCTGAATCAAACTTCTGTTCTTGGCCACAAGGATTTCATTTCTTCCATTAAAATATGCCTCCCCTATTTTTCACTGTCCACTCTTCCATATACTGTTTCTAGTCCTAGGTGATCACACTTCAGATCACAATCTCTGCTTCCTTGGTTTAGAAAATGTCAATTTGTGTTATAGATATGCTAAAAGAACAGCTACGTATTACATAAGGGTGGGTTATAATTCAGAAATCTTAGCACATTCTAATAAGAAATTTTTCTGAGCACTTGCTGTGGGCTTCGCGCTGTGTATTTCATAAAAATATCGGTGGTATGCTAGAACTTGCTTATTATGCCAACTCACAAACGCCAATTTTGTACGGCTCTTTCCAGCTCCCAGTACAGTGACTTCATGGCAGTGGCTTGAAATCTGCCACGGGAGGGACATTTACACTATAGATATTGACAAACGCTACAAATGTTTGTTTCGGTTTTTTGTGAGAGAAAGAGAGTGTGTACGCATTGGGTGGGGGGAAGGCCGGGGAAGAGGAAGAGTGAGAGAGAAAATCCCAAGCAGGCTCCACACCCAGCACAGAGCCCAATGTGGGACTTGATCTCATGACCCTGACATCATGACCTGAGCCGAAATCAAGAGGGGGACGTTTAACCGAATGAGCCGCCCAAGTGTTCCAAGATTTTATTTTTTAAGT